CTTCTCCTCCTGCCCCCAATCCCTCCCAGCATCAGGGTCTTTTCCAATGAGTCAACTCTTCGCATGAGGTGGCCAAAGTACTGGAGTTTCAGCTTCAGCATCAGTCCTTCCAATGAACACCCAGGACTGATCTCCTTTAGGATGGACTGGTTGGATCTCCTTGCAGTCCAAGGGACTCTCAAGAGTCTTCTCCAACGCCACAGTTCAAAAGCATCAATTTTTCGGTACTCAGCTTTCTTCACAGTCCAACTCTTAGAGAAGGCAAAATAAAGTGCTTTGAAGAGTGATTACTTTTGCAACTTGTTGTTAGATTGTAGGAAATCTTTTTTCACACACCAAACACAAAATTATTTGGAGCTTCTCTTTTTAAAATTATTTATTCATTTTTGGCTGTGCTGGGTCTTCACTGCTGGGTGCGCTCTCCTCTAGTTGCGGCGAGTGGGCACTACTCCCCAGTTGCAGCGCGCAGGCTGCTCATCATGACAGCTTCTCTGGCTGGGACGCACAGACTCAACAGTTGTGGGGCATGAGCTCAATTGCTCCCTGGCATGTGTGACCTTCCCAGATCAGGGATCGAACCCGTGGCTCCTGCACTGGCAAGTGGATTCTTCACCACTGAGCCACCAGAGATGCCCCTATTTGGAGATGCTTAAATGACTACAGAAACTAATGAAGTATGTTAAGAAGACGAGTCCCTCCATTCTCTCAAAGGCCACCATGTTCAGGAACACTTGTGTACTGACTTATAGTCTAACCTGGGAGCAGGACCTTGGCTGGTCTGCCCAGATGCTCTCTTAATCCTCACTGCCACAGATGACTTCCTCCACCTCTTTTTCTCCCTATTCCACAATGCTGTATATTCCATAGTCACTAGTATATAGCTCCAAATTACTCATTTCTTATCCTGCCACCTTACCCATCCCATTTATTGCCCCAGCCTTCTCTTACAGAAGAGAACGGGAAATGGAAGGAGGACGGGGCAGCAGCCCCAGGGAGAGCAAAGAAGAATGTAAAAGGCCCACATTTCCAATCTGGGACTTGAGCACTTGCCAGTCCCAACACCTCTGAACTACCTGGAGGGGAGACGGATAAGGTAACAGGCCGACGGAGGAACACAGCCAGTGCAAGATCTTCCCAGGGACTCAGCGCGGTTCAAGTTCTGGCAGAACACCAGGACGAGGGGGGAGAGGAAGAAGGGGAGGCCAGAATCCTCCAGCTTCTTCTTTCACGTCCTAGACAAGTCTCCACTGCATCCCCTTACCCCAACTGACACGTCCTTCAAACCTGATGCTAGATCTCTAGAACAAACCCCAATCCTGAGGGTGTCCTTTGCCCACTTTCAGATACCACTCTGCTAAATACTCCATCCCCAACAGTTTAAAGCTAGAAGAATGCACAACCACTTAACCATCTATATCACAGGCAGAGCAGAATATATGTCCATGCAGTTATACTAACCACAAAACTTACATTTTTCATATAGAATACACAATTATAGGAGGAAAATATTACTCAATTTTTAAAAGTTATACAAAAATAAAAGATCAGTAAAAGTTAATACATCCACTTTCTGTACACAGAACCAATTTTTTTGTATTTTAGAACACATACATGATTACAGTATAAGCATAATGAAATGAGGAGAGGTAAAGAATCTTAGAAAAACACAAGGGCTAACAAGAGTTCTTTAGCCACTTCTGTAAGCACAGGTTTTCAAAGACACCAGGTATACTTTGGTCCACTGGTACTGTTTTGTTACCTAATATTTTTCACAGTAGCTCTACTTAAAAGATTCTTTTCCTCTCCCATCCCCTGGAGCATAAATAAGATATATGCACCTTAGAGTCTTAAGATTACTTGGTTGTTTTAAAGTGAAACAGCTTATAAGAAAATATGTGTACATATTAAGCAGCTGTTTGGGTAAGTGTTTAACCACCATTAAGTTGCCATCATACTTCTGATATATAATTCTGAGGCATTCCAGTACTTAACATTCTGACTGAAAGTCATCCAGGCTCCCCACAAAAAATACACTCTTTCTAGAATGAATAAATAGGTTTAATGTATGGGAAAAAAACCACAAAACTTAGTTTTCTTCCTTCCCAAGGAGAAGAAGCAGAGTACCTACTATTAGAACGTCTTGGTATCATGTTCAGTAAGTATCTGTAAAATTATCAGAAACTTTTAAAGAAAGAAGTTCCGTTATAAAATAATCAGTATCAGATAACACAACCTTTTCCTAAAATGTATCTTAAAGTTGTTGGAAAAACATTAACTGACAGCATACATATACCAAAGGAAAAATCATGAAACTACTGCAAATTGAAAACAACCAAAAGCATACTTTCTGCAGTCACTTATCTAATTTTCTATTCTGTATGTCTAGGTAGAATTATGATTATAAAGCTGTAATAAAGTAAAATTTATTCTATAAGTATTGTCGACAAGAGTTAGTTTGCCCTCTGTTAATGGGTTCTCTTATAAATTAAAAGTTAATGCCATGTAATCTTGTTTTCTTACATAAATCAGTTACCCGATCCTTGCAGGCAAGTACCAAGCAGAGTCATAAATCAGAGAAGCAAGATTCTTACAACATGAGAAACACGAAAACCAATATTATACTCTAACATTTGCTGAAAGTATGTTTCAAACAGAATAAATCTTAGACTGCAGACTAAAATAAAAAAAGAAAGAAAAACTGTGTTGGAATATAAGCAAGCCTCATTTTTGATCAATTAAACCTCACTTGCTATATAATTTATATTATTAGAATCACAGGGATTTTAGGTGGGATTCTCATTTTGTGACCACTTGAATCTCAGAGATGATATGCAATTTAATGGCAGAGGCAAATTCAAAGCAAATTGCAAGTCTTCATGTTTAGGGTAATTCTGTCTACACATACAAAAGCACAAAATGATGATACCCAGCTTTTATTATATGATACCTACTTCTGAATAGCTATGCGAAGACAATTATAAAAGAATGGTTCAAAAACAAAAACAATGAATAGGACAAGAAGGTTAATCTCAAAGTCACTGATATTAGGGAAAAAACCAGGAAAACCTAAATTTCCCAAATGAGAGATATGCTAAATTAATAACAGACTATTTTGATGGAATATTCTGTAGGAACTGAAAGCTGAAAATTACACTGATGAAAATAATTACTGACGTTGAAGAATGTTTGTAACATATGGTTGAAAGAGCAAAGCTAGCTGTGGAATCGGTATCCATCACAGTAATCTCTGATACAGAAGAGGTTAAGTTTGCTATTTATTTCAAAGCTTACTATTTCCCTTTTCATCTAATGGATGTGGGAGGCAAAGAGAGCTGTTGAGACACACCTCAGCAAATGCCCACCTGTGAGACTTGCATTCTGTCAGTTACTGGGCTAGAACGATCAGCAAAGTGAGAAGATAAACAGGGACTTTTTATGGAGCAAAGCTCCTTTACATCAATCTTCTCAAAGCTAATAAGCAACTTCCGGGCTCAGAACACCAGATATCCCAGACTTAAACTCTAAACTTAGAGCAATGACCAACAGCTTGCTTTTAAATGAAGTGACGTGAAAGTCGCTCAGTCGTGTCCGACTCTTTGAAACCCCATGGACTGTATAGTCCCTGGAATTCTCCAGGCCAGAATACTGGAGCGGGTAGCCTTTCCCTTCTCTTAGGGGATCTTAGGGGATCTTAGGGATCTCTTAGGGGATCTTCCTAACCCAGGGATCAAACCAAGGTCTACCATATTGCAGGCAGATTCTTTTCCAGCTGAGCCACAAGGGAAGTCTGCTTTTAAATGGGAGACTACCAAAAATGAGACTATTTCCCATATATTTGTACATTATGCACGAATGTGCAAAATACACATACGCAGAGCAGGGAGAGAAGGAGAAGAAGGGGCAGGATGAAGCAAATACAAAGCTTACCTGGAACAGTCTGGTAAAAATATCAAATTCAAAAACCGAAATGTAATCATTACAAGTCAAGTCAATTGTTGATTTTAGAGCCATTGCTTCCAGGCCAGAGCTAATCTGATGCACCTCATGAAGGCACTGTCTGAATACTTTCCATGGTACGATCGTTCTGTGCAAGACAAAAAAAAAAGTAATTGAATCAAGTGTCATTTAAGACATACCTTCCACTGAAACAGCACAATTCAATCATAACATTAATATAATTGTATTTGTACTAAAAGACAAATAGTTGAGAATACTGTTTATAATTCAGAACATATGTAATGGGTTTTGCTAAATGGATTATTTTCCATTTGCTAAGAATGTGACAAAAATGCAGATCAATTTTCCTCTCAAACAGTCCTTGACTATCAAGATATTTCTAAAAACGCTTCCAAAGACAGTATTAGATCAAAGTCCTGTATGTCTGAGCTCTTCCTTTATTTTCTTAAAGTAATAACAGGATGATGTGTTCACATAATAGCAAGAATTCCTTGTTCACTGCATAAGGAAGTTCAGGCAGAAAGTCATCAAGACATTTCTACCAACATCCTGACATGTTCCACAGAGGTGGAAAACCACTTTATTTAACCTTTCATACTAATGCAAAGGGAAATTTCAATAATTTTTAACCAAGCCAACTGGCTATCACATGGAAAGTTATTTATTCAACACTCATTTATCAACTTAATCTTATTAAAACCCTTGTATCAACATTTTTTATGTAATACACATACACAGTTCAAAAATTTTGAAGAGGATAGAACGGTACCCAGGGGAAAGTCTCCCAACCCATTCTCTGCCTGACCAGTTTCCAACATTCACCCAACTCCTGTCCACCATGAAAATGAATAACATCCATTATTTGTTCTTTACTTTTCCTCCTTTTGGAATGTTAAATGCCTATTTCTGAACAAGTGGAAGAAAGCAATCATTCATATGTTGAAAATTTTAAGCTGCAGTTTTCATAATTGTTGTGTTTAGTCACTGAGTCTGACTCTTTTGCAGCCCCATGGACGGAAGCCTACCAGACTCCTCTGTCCATGGGGTTTCCCAGGCAAGAATACTGCAGTGGATTGCCATTTCCTTCTCCAGGGGATCTTCCTGGCCCAGGGATTGAACCCACATCCCCTGTACTGGCAGGCGGGTTCTTTACCATCTGAGCCACCAGGGAAGACCAGTTTTCATAACAGGATGGCTATAAAAGCTATAATCTCTTGTAAGATTGCAAATATTTAAATACAAATTTTTCTTTACTAATATCTGTTGAGAATTAAGACTCAAGCAGAATGGACTAAATTGGTTGGCCCCGCGTGATACTAATCCTTCCAGTGAAGCAACACCATAAAGGTAAAAGGTTCGTATTCATTAACTATCCCCTGCAGTGGCTGCCAAACTTGAGCATGCATCAGAATCACTGAAAGGCTTGTAAGCACAGAACTGATCAACCCAAGATGTTCTGACTCAGTATGACTGGGGTGGAGCCGTGGGACTTACGATCTTAACACACTCCAAGTGACGCTGATGTTGCTGGGGACAACACTTTGAAAGTCGCTGATCTATTGTACCTATTAATTGCTAAGGCTCTGTGGACAAACACCATTATGGAAAGACAAGATGCTACCTCCGCCCTTGAAGCACACACACTTTCAGGGTGGAAATAAATCTGTAATGCTAAAGTCTACAGAAGGGGTATTAAGGAAGTGCTGGAGGAATTCCAGCGAAGGAATGGTCTGTGGCAAGATGAATAAATGAGTGCTGAGACAGCTGAACAATGCTATATTGTGTATATAAGAAAGTTTATGTTTGATATGCCATTAAAAAAAATGAGGCTGAATACATCAAAAGGCTTTGCTCCATGTATGAAAAAAACAGGAAACCACAGAGAACTGAAGAGAGACACCACATCAGAAGCCATTTAGAAGAAACACACGTCAGGTTCTGATTAAGGTTAACAAGACGCTGCTGTTTTAAAGTAACAATGAAAACTTCTGATAATATTAGGCGGCTTTTTATTTACAGTGAAGTGTAAGTATGCAATTATGTCCAACTTCATTACAATTAACTCGAAAGCAGTGCCTAAGAAGCAGTTTTCTTCTCCAAATTAAAGTTTCAAATATTTAATACACAAAAGGGGCATGAACCATAATATTCAAAAATTTTTAAATAGTAAACAAAAAACTACTGATTTAAGAAGGGTATGTGTTTTCTCTTTTGTACGGAAATGTTAAGAGAATTCTGTCTTGTGTATATAGTATAAGAAACAAATTGATTGTCCAAATAAGACAATGTTTGATATCAATTATCATAAAAAAATTATCCTCCTTCCAGTATTTAAGGTGCATGCAGATCATAACTCTTTTGAACACCCAGTGATTTCACACAGTGAATTATTAAAAAATGTACAAACATCTAACACTGTAGTCTAACTTACTACTTTGGAACAACAATTTACAAAGGGGCAAGTTACATTTCCACAGTACTTGTGCAAATAAGACCTTCCCAAGCTCCTTTGTGATAAGTGTAAAGTACAAACAGGAATTCATCAGAACCTTAGTTAAGGGTAGTAACAGGAAAGAAAAAGAAAGGGCCTTATTTGGTTAACTCACTACATATAAAAGTATATACAACAGAGACCCTTCCTTTGATCAGCTGAGCCAAACATCCATGGTAGGAAGGAGAGAAATAGAGTACAATGGTTTCTTTAAAAACAGCTCTAACAGTGCCGCACTAAGGATCTAGGCTTTCTAAAGAGGATTTCAAGCTGCCACCACATTCTTTCCTGAGGTTTGTGGGGGCAGGGAGAAAGGCAGAGGATGACTGTTCACACCTTTACTAAACTGTAGCAAGACCACAGAGTGGTGGTTTCTACCACCTCTTCCCCTAGAGATGAGCTGGTGAGAGAGAATATTAATGGCAAATTATTGTTTTACAGATACATGGAAACTTCAGTGTACCCGCAGAGATCTAGGAAGACAAAAGAGGCAGAGAGAGAAAAGGAATAGAAGATAAAAGGGCCAACCAAGCTTCAAGCTCTCACCATTCCAGCTCTCACCATTAAATCTGTTCTGTTGCTACTTACAATTATAAATCATTTTAATTACAAATTGAATTAACTTTAAAATCCCATGAAAAGCAGAAGTAGCCATCAATCCACAAAGAACTGAATAAAAGACCAATGGGTAATATAATAATGTTAGATCTCACTATAATAATGATATGAGTTCAGGATCTTTAGACTTCCAATAGGAATAAAAATGAGAGCTGCCATTTACTGTTGACTTACTATCTGCCAATCTCCAAATTAAGTACTGAGTTTCTCATAGTAACAGTGGTAGGCAGATAATATATTTATCCTCATGATAGAGATGGGAAAACTGGGGCTTAAAGAGGTTAAGGGATTCACCCAAGAAAGACCGTATATGTGTCAGGCACTGGCTAGGTTCAGAATGAAAATATAAAGTCACAGTCTAATAAGTGCAAACACTTATAGGTAATTTACGTTGTGCCATGTGACTAAGGCTATCATAGAAAAACATTTATGTGCTATGAGAATCAAAAGGAATGGAGGGCCTGGCAAACAGCAATTGTCTTTTATTCATCTTTACCCATGGCAAAACAACAATTGTCTTTTATTCATCTTTACCCATGGCAAACAGCATTTGTCTTTTATTTATCTTTACCCAATACCGAAGAGTATGAAACCATAATCTGTGACATTTAACTCTGTCTATGGAGGGCAAGTGAGTGCTTCACAGAGGAGGAAGCTAGGTATTTGAGTGCTATAACACCCTTCTACTATTCAGAAATGGTTCGATAATTTAAGGATGGGGGGGGTAGCTAGTCTATTCACACAATGTCAGGAGAGACAATAACTTGATAAATTTTAAAACCCTAGAGTTTTAAAACACAAAATAAGGAACAGAAGACAAAAATGTAAGGAGACTGATACTTGAAAAAAAAGACAAAACATTTCCTTTAAATCACAAGTTCATAAAAGCTATTTAGGTTTTATTTTTAACTCATTTGGAAAAAAAATCCATATCATAAAAGTGTGAATCTGAACAAAGGTTGGGTGTGTGGAAACAGGAACTTTTGTGTACTTCTGGTGTGAACCAAAATTTACACAGCATTTCTAGAAGGCAATGTGGCAGCAAGTTTCAAAAACCTACAACATTTTAACTCAGAAAGCCTACTTCTAAGGATTTGAGAAAGAAAATTGTTGAAAATAAAATACACAGCAATGCAGCCTCATTTATGTCTCTTCAACAGTGTTGTCCATAATACCAAAAAATTAAAACGATTATGTTCAGAAGTAACAATACCACATACATCCATAGGTTAGAATATTTTACAACAAATAAAACTTATATGGAAAAACCATGTACTGTTCTAGAAAAGTGGCTGTGTCATTAAACGGAAATGGCATTTTTAAAACTGTATGGCCTCGGGAACTCCCTAGCTGTCCAGGGGCTAGAATTTCGTGTTGTCACCGCTGAGGGCCTGGGATTCAACAGAGATCCCGTAAGCTGCACAGTGCGGCCAAAAAAGAAAAAAAAGGTATGTCCTTTATGATTCAACGATAAAAACTACCTGGCACATAAATTTCAATTGATGATGTCTAGACATAGAAACAAGATCGTCAGGAGAAATACCAACAATCCCAGATATGCAGAGGATGCCACTCTACCTGCAGAAAGTGGAAAGGAGCTAATGAGTCTCCTGACGAGGGGGAAAGAGGAGAGAAAAAGAGCTGGCTTAAAACTCAACATTCAAAAGGCTAAGATCACGGCACCTGGCCCCATCACTTCATGGGTAATAGATGGGCAAAAGTGGAAACAGTGGTAGGTTTTATTTTCTTGGGCTCCAAAATCATTGCATATGGTGACTACAGTCATGAAATTAAAAGAAGCTTGCTCCTTGGAAGAAAAGCTATGACACACCTAGACAGCAAATTTAAAAGCAGAGACGTGACTTTGCTGATAAAGTATAGTCAAAAGTATAGCCGACAACGTATAGTCAAAGCTATGGTTTTCCCAGCAGTCATGTATGGATGTGAGGGTTGGACCGTAAAGAAGGCTGAGAGCCAAAGAATTGATGCTTTCAAATTGTGGTGTTGGAGAAGACTCT